GTCCTTGGGGTAGAGGTAAGGTCTGTGTTCATCCTATCCTCCCAGACCCAAGTTCGTGGGGGACTTACAGGCTTCGCTTGGTTTGGTTTTAAGAGGGTATGATTGTAAAATTGTCAGCTTTCTCTCTTTCTCTTCAACTCAAGAACAGAAAAGAAACTAAAACAAAACATTTTTTCCTTGCTTTTCAACTCGAGAACATGCAAAAAGAAAATCATCATCATTTCTTTTCTCTCGAAAAGAAACTTGAGAAGAACACAGCATTGTTAACAAAAGATCCTTCCATCTGTAATCTTACTGCTGTTCATCATTGTGTTAGTATGGTATTTCATTCACCCTTCTGGTTATGTCTTGGCATGGAAATGACAGAAATGTGGCTGCTGGCTGATGAATTTCATTGCTTCTTATGTTGTTTTCAGTTTTCACCTACATTGAACTACTATGAATTTCTTATGGACTGTACTGAATCAACTAATACTTTTCAGGGCACTGATTTTATACGTATTGGTAGAGAGGAAGCCGTGCATGAGGATATTCGCTGGAATTGCATTAATGGTTGGATTATTTACTTCAAGATTTCATAAACAGTGTGCATTCTTTATCAGTTGAGTCATACATATACCAAAGATATTAAGCTGAGACTAGATGAAGCCAAGGTTGTTGCAGTGACAAGCTTAGGAATAACCAGTCCGCTGCTTTCTGACAAGAAATTTCGATGTATGCATTATGGATGAAGATGGACAAATCACACTTCCAGTATGTAATTCTTTTGTATGAAAATCATATTGGGTAGCATCCTAAGATCATTTGTTTGCGTGATTCTAAGTTTTTTCAGACATGAATATTTCAGATAATTTTGATTTACTATTTCCAATTCCAAATGCTCCAAAATTGTAACCAAACTTGAAGCTAATAACCATCAGAAATAAAATCTAGATTAACTGCTATGTGTGTGTTCAGAAATAAAAGCTAATAACCATCTGACAATGGGATTTTCTTTATAGGTCTCATTGGAACCTTTGATGTTTGCGTCAATGTTTGTACTTGTGGGAGATCATTATCAATTGCCCCCACTTGTGCAGGTACATATATCTTCTCTGTGTCATTTTAACTTTCTTGTCATGTACAACTAAAACAACAGCTTTGACATTCTCACATCCCAGAGTACTGAAGCTAGGGAAAATGGAATGGGTGTAAGCCTCTTTTGCAGACTTTAAGAAGCACATCCCCAGGCCATTTCAGCTTTGCAAAGCCAGGTGTATATTAACTACTCTTTATAGCCCAAAACAATTTATTTTTCTATGTTATTTGATAAATATGTTAAATTTTTATATTGTAAATTGCAGTACCGTATGTGTGCACCCATTATGGAGCTATTCAATGCCTTGATATATGGTAATAAGCTYTGTTGTKKTTCTCCTGATGTAGCAAATGCAAAACTTGAGTACATAAGTTCAACATCTTTGCCATCATGGCTGAAGAAGGTAATTATAGGTCATCCAGCTCAATGGTATAGATATAAAATGATACTTTTTTATCGAGTAAGGATAAAAAATGACTCTTTCTCGTTACCACCATCGATGATAAAATAAGATTTCCCACTTCAACCTACAATATTAATATTCTAGATGTTTGTTCAAAAAAATATCATATAACCTTGAAGTTCATTATTGATCTTCAGGTTCTGGATCCACTCAGACCAGTAATATTCATTAATACAATGTATCGGTGTTATTCTATCATTCTCCAATTGCAAGTTTTGCATGTTTCCGCCATTGCTTACAGATATTTCATGTTCACAGATCTTTTACATGGTTTAGAGGTTAAAGATTGCAAGAAGGTAAATAATCCACTTGAAGCATACATAATCATAGGTATGCACTGCTTCTTAAATACTTCATCCATCTCATGGAAAATTGCAACTTTTTACAGCACACACACTTATGTAAATGTGCTACAGTAAAAACATAATAAATARATCTTGTGGATTACAATCAATAGCACCACTAAGTTGGAATAATGACAATGAGAAAAAGAGGTAATTCYACTTCAAAATTTTGGCAAAAAGTGAATTCTTGCGACTTCCATTGGACCATTTTTGCAATGTTCATTTGACGGGGTGTAACTTCTAGCAGTAATTTTTTCCTCCCGTGCTTCATAAAGATCTTCCTGTTGTTTGATCTGATTCTTTTTACCTTTTTTCGTGGTTGTAGATAATTGATAAATTGAGTTGCCAAGGCATCCAGGGAGAAGATATTGGTGTTATAACTCCTTACAAATCTCAGGCCAACCTCATTAAACAACATGTTACACAATCATTGGAGATACATACCATCGAGAAGTACCAGTTAATATTTTACACGAGGTTATATCCAACGACAATCTACAATTTTTATTGCATTTACTTTAAGAAGTAACACTATGAGAAAAGGAATTAACTTCAAAGAAAAGATGCCTGAGCTACAAATTGTGTCAAGTATTTTTCATTGGATAAACCATGTTATATCATAAAGGTCAATCTGACCTAGTGGTTCAGCCACTAACCATAAGGTTCATTAATGTTTTTTCTTAACACATCTTATGTTTCGTTTCCAAGTACAAACTTATAAATTTGATTTTTCTCTATATCTTTAAATGAGTTTTGAGGCTCCATATTGAATTGCATAATGTAGTAATGGATTGTGTTTGTACCGTCATGTAGGGAAGGGACAAAGATTGCATATTGGTGTCGTTTGTAACGTCAAGCAACAATCCAAAGAACTACAAATCTTCACTCCTTGGTGACTGGTACAGGATCAACGTGGCCCTCACCCGTGCCTAGGTTAGCAATCTACATAATAATAATGATGATAATAATGCATCTCTAATTCTTTATTCTGCATGAAGTTTTAATGAAAATGTTACACAAGTGGATGTAATGGGCTTATTTCTTCTTAAAAAGTTCAATTGGGTCAAAATGATTCAAATTAGGTCATAATTAGTCTCATTAGACCCTAATGGGTTTAATGGGCCCAATTCTCCATAAGGAGTCTAATTGGGTAAAAATGACACTAAATGGGTGATATTTAGTTTGTTTAGACCTTAATGGGTATCATGGGCTAATTTCTCCTATTTGAGTTTAATTGAGCTGTATAATGATACTAATGGTTCATAATTAGTTTAATCAGACGTTAATGAGAGTAATTGAGGTAGAATGAGTTTTAATGGTCCTTAATGGGTCCATTTGGTGTTAGTGAATATAATGGGGCTATTTCTACTTAAGAAATCCAATTGGGTTAAAGTGATACAACTAGGTCATAATTAGTCTCATTAGACCCTAATGGGTTTAACGAGCCTATTTCTTCATAAGGAGTCTAGTTGGGTGAAAATGACACTAAATGGGTCATAATTAGTCTAAATAGACGTTAATGGGTCTTAAGTGTCCTAAATGGGGAGGGTTGCGAGCTTGAAGATGAAGATGAAGATGAACATTGGATCTTGAGCCTTTGGATTTTCTGCATGCTTTCACGTGTCTTCTTCTTGCTAGTAAAGGTTTGCTTTCCTTTGCGATCGTTTGGCTGTTTGCTGTGGTCACGGCTAGTAGGATTATTTTTAGGGTTTTGTTTCATCTTTAAGCGCTGTTTTTGATTACATCTGTTTGAGTTCCTGCTACTTGCGATCGTTAGTTTCTGGTTTTGGTTATTTCTTTGGAAAGGACGGCATTAGGGTTTTGCATATAGGTGCAGTTTTAACCGTTTCTTTTGGCGAGAGACTCTATATCGCTCGCTTGTTAAGGTTAATCGCATCTGTTCTTGCTGTTGTCGTTTCTGGTTACTTGGCTGTGGTTCGCTTCTGGCTGTTTTTCATTCTGGTTTGTTCGCTATTGTGGGGAGTTTCTCTCCTGGTATTGTTTGCTGTTTAAAGAAGGCAGCAGTAGGATTTAGGCTGTTACGTTTATGTTTGGAACGCTTGCCTTCCTTATTTTCTTTTTGGCCACTGTTGTTTATCATTGTTGGCTGTTTTGATCTTCATCGTGGCTGCTGTTTGATGTGTGGGGTTTGTTTTGCCTATTGCTGTGCGTAAGTCAGGTGTTATTTTATGTGCATTCCTACACTGTTAGGTTACCTCCTTGATCTAGTCGTCTGCTGCTGGTTTGTGTTAATCGGCGGCTGCTGTGGGTTAGGATTCTTAGAGTAAAGACTTTTATCTGCTGCTGCCGTTGGTTCCTAGTCTGGTTACGTATTATTGTTGTTGCTGTTGGGGATCCATAAACCCGAGTTTTTTTTTGCTGCTTAACTGTGGTGGTTGTTTTTCCACGTCTGTTAGCAAGGCTCAGGTTTCTGTCTTGTTGCTGCTACGGAATTTGGTTTTTCTTGCTGCTGATTTGGCTGCTGTTTGGCTGTTCTTGGGCTTGATAGTTTTGCTCCCTGCTGCTATCTACTTCCAGGTTCTTGCCTTCCGAGTTCTCATGCTGTTTGTTGTTGGTTTGTAGACTATTTATTGCTGGTTGGGTATTTTCTCTAGTTGGGTACGAGCTTCCAGTTTCTGCTGTTTTTGGACTCCATTTGCTGCTGATTCTGAATTTGGTTGAGTATTTGCTGCTGTTTTTGGACCCCATTGGTTTTTTCATTGTTGTTGGTTGCTGTTGGTTTCTTTGTTTCGTCTCGCAGTTGGTGTTTCTAGTTTGCTGCTTATTTGTTGCGTTCCTGCTGGTTTATTTAGTATTTGCGGCTGTTTTTTTCTTGGTTGAGGTGGTTTGCGAGTTTGCTGCTGTTTGCTCTTGGTCAACAGCTTCTTTCACATTTCTCAAGGTACGTCGGGGTCTTCTGGGTTGCTGTCCCAACATTTTCTATTGTCTCCTTTCACTTTCCATTTTCTTCTCACATGTTGAGTGTTTCTGCGGTCTTCGTTGCTCTTCGAGAGTTCCTTGGTAGATATTCAGCACCTCGGCTACCGGGGTCTTCCTCTATCCTATCAAGGTCACTTAAAGAGGGTTTCAGCACCATGGCTTCTTAAGGCGTGGAATGGGAACGATTGATGAAACAGTCACCATGCCTACAGATCCTAGTAGGGTCTCCGTTTTTGAGAGACTTTCGTCTCTAGAGGAAGGCTCGGGTGGTAACCAAGCTATTGGTATGGATGGAATGGTAAATAGGAAGCTAAATTTTGCCAAAGCGGTTGGCCGCTTGGTGGATACGGAACTGAACTTCTACCCTCTTGCCAATAAAAACCAGGCGAGTGTGAAGATTCCGATTGAAATGGCCAAGGAGGCAACAAAATCTTATAATACAGTTTTATATGGTTATTTTTTGGGCCCCCGTATTCACTTCCCATTGGTGCAAAAATTTGTCAAAGCGGCTTGGGGAAAATATGGATACTCTGATGCTATGATGAACGAAAATGGTATATATTTTTTCCGCTTCAATGATGAAGGAGGATGTGACTGGGTTATTGAGGCTGACCCGTTAATGGTCTGTGGTGTACCTTTATTTGTTTATCGTTGGGACCCATCTAAGGGATTACGGAAATCGGAACACACGTCTTGTCCTTTATGGGTGAAGTTGCATAATATACCGTTGGTTGCTTTTAATAAGGAGGGCGTTAGTCGTATTGCTAGTGCTTTGGGTATATCGAAACAAATGGATTCTTGTACGACATCCATGTGTGATAAGGCTTGGGGATGCCCGGGGTTTGCAAAATTGCTGGTTGAGGTCTGGGCTGTAGGTGATCTTAAACGACATATTGAGGTACTGATTCCGAACCTCAATGGAAGGGATGATGAAAAAGTCAATATCCAGGTAGAAAATATTTGGGAGCCGCTTCAATGCTCCCGCTGCCATGTTTTTGGGCACAAAACATCGTCGTGTGTGAAGGCCGTTAATCCGATTAAAGGGAAGCAAGTTGATGGGAGAAAAGACTCGGAGGGGTTCGTTAGGGTGGAGAAAAAGCAATGGAGAGCTAAATCCGGTGGCAATACTCAATCTTCGATTCCTTGTTCTAAAAGCTCAAATGTGAAAACCGGTAGACCTAATCCGGCAACCATGGAAGCAAGCACTTCTAGGAGGGAACAAACTGTGGAGCAGAATGTGGATCTAACAGTAGAAGAATTATCGGATCAATCTGGCCAAGTTGTGAAAGCCGTCTCGGAGGGACCAAGTAAGGGTACAAATGGGGTAGTCAAGCATGTGAGTTCTGGGACTTCTTCTACTCAATCAAATGTTAAATATGCCCCTCTTCTAGCTTCAGTTGTTAAGTCTTTTCGACTGCCTAGGAGAGGGGTTATGATCGATTCCACGACGGTTTCTAACATATTCGTGGTTCTAGGGAATTTGGGAGGGGAAGAGACTCAAGGGTATAGACAAAGAACCTGTCTCGAGTACATCGATTGCGAAATCTAGGGACCAAGGGGTGGAGATTCAAAATACCCTTCATGTTGAAATTCGCTTCTTGGAATATCTAAGGACTCAACTCCCCGGTTAAGCAAAAAGAGGTGAAAAGTTTAATTCATTGTAATGATTTAAGTTTATGTGCAATTCTAGAGTCACGTTTCCAAGGATTCCATTGAGAATGTTTGCTTTAGTACTTTTGGTCGTTGGTCTTGGATCTCCAACCAGATGGCTTGTGACTCTGGGACCCGTCTAATTCTTGCTTGAGATTTACGGGTTCTAGATGTTATGATTCTTGAGGTCCATGAGCAACTCTTGAACTGCGAATTAAATTTCAGCGGTGGCCAAGACCCTATCTTCTTTTCCTTTGTCTATGGGGCAAATAATTGCAATGCTAGGAGGGAGTTATGGTCGGGTCTTCGGAAGTTCAAAGTTTTGATTGGTTCTAAACCTTGGATTGTTATGGGTGACTTCAATGCCATGTTGTTTACCCATGACGGTTTTGGGGGGTCCTCTCGCCGTAATACTGATATGTCAGATTTTTTTGCTTGTGTGGAGGATGTAGAAGTCTTTGATTTGCATTACACGGGTATCCATTCTCATGGAATTAAAAGCTAAATGAAGAGGGGGGAATCAGGCACAAACTGGACAGGGTTCTGGCTAATTCGGAATATACTTCTAAGTTCCATGATGCCAATGGTCACTTCTTACCTTCTGGGCTTTTGGATCACTCTCCGGTAGTTTTGTCTTTCAATAGAGGAACACGGAAAAAGAGTTGGGGATTTAAATTTGATAACTTCTTGGTGGAACACCTGTCTTTCTTGCAGGTTATGAAGGATGAATGGTCAAAACATATAGAGGGGACCTTTATGTTTCGAGTGACTAGTCACTTGAAGGCCCTCAAGACCCCTCTACGAAAGCTTCGTAATTCCTATGACAATCTTGTTGCTCGGGTGTCCTTTTTTGAAAGCAGAGTTAGATCAGATTCAGTTGGAAGTGGACAATGACCCCTCTAATGTGGATTTGGGCCTTGATCTTGATCACCCTCGTCTTGCTTATTAAAAAGCTTGCTGGGATGAGGAATGTGCCGCCAAGCAGAGAGCTAAAGTTAAATGGTTGAATGAGGGCGATTTGAATACTAAATTCTTCCATAATGTGATAAAAGAACGACATCATTCTAACTTCATCTAATTCGTCTGTACTAGCCAAGGTGACTATATTTACGGGGATGATGTCCTTAATTTGTTTGTGGATTACTTCAAAGGTTTTCTTGGTGTGCAGGATGCTTCATCTGATCCGGTTATGTCAGATGATCTTTTTACTCGGAAACTCTCATTGTCTGAAGCCAACCATATGATCCGACCTATTTTTAATGAGGAGATCAAAAATGCTATGTTCAGTATTGGCAATCATAAAGCCCCAGGATCAGATGGTTATTCGTCTCGGTTTTTCAAAGCTTTTTTAGATATCATCGGTTGTGATGTGGAGATTGCTATCCACAATTTCTTCTATAGAGGTAACCTCCCGAAAGAATTGAATCATACCTTCATTTGTCTTATCCCTAAATCTGTTAGTGCATCTAAGGTTTCGGATTACCGACCTATAGCTTGCTGTACGATGCTTTACAAATGTATTAGTGAAGTCATCGTTAACAGAATGAAGGGTCATTTGGATTCTTTAATTGATGAGGCCCAATCGACTTTTATTCCGGGTTGGATGATTACGGATAATATTCTTATGGCTCATGAGCTGGTGTCGGGATACCAATCTAGGGATGGCCCTCCGAGATGCACGTTCAAGATTGACATCAAGAAGACTTATGATACGGTGGATTGACAATTCCTTCTTATTATACTTAAGGGAATGGGGTTCCACCTGGTTATGGTCAAATGGATTAGGGAGATGGTTTCTACTACTTCTTATTCGCTTGCGAATAATGGCAATACATACGGGTTTTTTCATGGGGGAAGGGGGACTGAGGCAAGGAGATCTGTTATCCCCATATCTATTTACGATCGTGATGGAGGGGTTCTCTATGCTCCTCAAGCAATGCATTCAGGAAGCTGTTGATTTATGGTATCACAGAGGTTGTGATGATTTGGATTTGACGCACCTATGCTTTACTAATGACCTTTTCGTGTTCACGAAGGGAGATGTTCAATCAGTTGAGGTACTTAAAAAGACACTTTTTCTTTTCCAGAATCGCTCGGGGTTAGAGCCAAGTCTTGAGAAAAGTGAGATTTTCTTTGGGAATGTTTCTCCTAACATTAAGGAGGCCATTATTGAGTGTCTTCCTTTCAAGCTTGGTTCTTTTCTTTTTCGGTACTTGGGAGTTCCATTGTCCCATACCCGTTTGAAGTCAGGTGATTATGTATTTGGTTGCTAGGATTAAGGGTCGCATTCTCAATTGGAAGTCTAAGCTCCTTTCTTTTGGAAGGCGAAGACAACTTATTATATCGGTCCTTCAATCCTTATAGCTTCATTGGATGTCTATGTTCCTATTTCCTTCTGGGCTTATCCATCATCTTGAATCCATCTTTAGGAAATTTGTTTGGGCTCCAAGGGAGGATCCTAGAGGCAGGTGCAGGTTATCTTGGGAAGTGGTGTGTCGGCCTCTTGCGAGTGGCGGTCTTGGTATTCGGTGTTTGGCAACCTGGAATAGGGCGTTACTTGCCAAACATATCTGGGATATTGTGAGGCACCGTAACTCGTTGTGGGTAAGATGGGTGTACCAGAATAATCTTCCACTTCTAGATCATTCGGAAAAACTCTTATTGGTCGTGGGTTTTGCGTAAGCTGTTGGATTTACGACCTCAATTGCGACGATCTCTGATCTCCCAAATTGGTGATGGACGAGATTCTAATGCTTGGGAGGATACATGGCTCGCCTGTGGTCATCTTTCTTCCTTCACCTTCTACAGATTCATTCATTCTTGTGGGTTTTCAACTATCACTACGGTTCGGGAGTTAATTATGAGTTTGGATAATTATGGGGAGTGGCCGGCTGATCGGTGTAACAAGTAATCTGAGCTTAATACTGCTCCTTTGCCGACATTGAATTACTATGTTCGTGATAGAGTTTTATGGGGGGATAATAACTTTGGATTGGATTTCACGGTTAGTACTGATTGGTCTTCGTTGGAGGGGAACCATTCGGTTGTACCTTGGTATAAATCGGTTTGGTTCTCAGGCCATATTCCTGAGCATGCTTTCTGTCTTTGGCTTGCTTGTCATTGGCGTCTTCCTACCCAAGACTGTATGATTTGGAAGGATGAACCTCCGGACTTGGAATGCTCGCTCTGTAGCACTTGCATGGATAGCCATACCCACTTATTTTTCCAGTGTTCCTTTTCAAGAGAGGTTTGGGATAGCATCTTACATGTTGTGGACTGGATGAATATGCCAGACTCGTGGGATCAAATCTTGGAAGCTATTTCAGAATCGAGCTGATCGCCAAAACGTTTAAAGCAGAAGCTAGCGCTTGCGGCTTCAGTTTACTACATCTAGCAAGAACAAAATCGAAGACTCTTTACTAAGAATCGCCGCACAGCTGTATAACTTATCAAGGAAATCGAAAGCAAAATTTCCATTCGTGTGGCTTGGTTGGAGAGACGGGTTGAGCGGAATGATGGTTTACATGAAGGATAGGGTCTTGGTTGGGGGGGCTTTTATGAGGTTTAACCTTCTTTTGTTTATTTTTTGTAGCTTGTTTGTGTCTGTTGGGCTCTATACCTTCTGGGTCGTTGTGGCTTGGTATGGTGTGGTGACCAAGTCTTTTATGTTTCAGTTTTGTTGGATGTGGTAGTACGCCTAAACTCTTTATTTAATTTATTGGTTTTATAAATTTGCGTGGTTTCCTTTAAAATAAAGTGTCCTAAATGGGGCCATTTACTCTTAGTGGGTCTAATGAGTTTATTTATTATAATCCAATCATTTGGGTCAAAATGACATTAAGTGCGTCATAATTAATATGATTAGACCCTAGTGGGTTAACATTAACAAGACCCATTAATCCACAAGGATTATAACTGGCTCAAAATGACACTTGATGGGTCATATTTAGTTTGATCAGACCTTAATGAGTATAATATGCTAAATTTGTCATAAATAATAAGATGTTAATTGGAGTAATTGAGGTAGAATGGGTCTTAATGGTCCTTCATGATCCATTTGGTGTTTTTTTTTTGAACGGAAACCAGACAAATTTATAAAACCATAAAATGAAATACAACGATTAAACATTCGACCACACCCAACAAACTAGGAAAACAAAAGACTTGGACATCACCCCGTACCAAGCCACAACAAGCCAAAAGGTACAAAGGCCAACCGACTCAACCAAGCAACAAAAAATAAAGAAAAGGAGTTTAAAACTCAAAAAAGCTCCCCAAACCCAGACCCTATCCTCCATGTAAAACAACATTTCTCATCACCCTTCACTCCATCCAAGCCGCACGAATGGAAATAGTATTTTGAATAACTTTGATAAGTTGCATAGCTGTGCGACGATTCTCTGTAAAAAGTCTTCTATTTCTTTCCTGCTAGATATAATAAACAGAAGCTGCCACCGCAAGTTTCTGCTTTAAACGTTTCGGTCGTCGACTGGAATCCAAAGTAGCTTCCAATATATGACCCACGAAGATGACATATTCATCAAGTCCACAATATGCAAGATGCTATCCCAAACCTATCGAGAAAAAATACACTGAAAGAATAAATGGGAATGGCTATGCATACAATTCCTACAAAGCGAGGCATTCCAGGTCCGGAGGTTCATCCTTCCAAAGCATACGGTCTTGAGTAGGAAGACGCCTCTGACAAGCAAGCCATAAACAGAAAGCATGCTCAGGAATATGGCCTGAGAACCATATCGATTTATACCATGGTACAACCGGATGAGACCCCTCCAACGAAGCCCAAGCAGTACTAACCGTGAAATCCAAACCAAAAGTGCTATCATCCCCCCAAAGAACTTTATCACGAACTGAATCATTCAAAGAAGGCAAATGAGAAGTACGAAGCTCAGCAAACCTATTACACCACTTGTCCGGCCACACTTTGTCCAAACTCATAACTAGCTCTCGAACCGTAGTGATAGTAAAGAACCCAAAAGAATGGATGAAACGGTAGGAGATGAAGGTCAAAAGATGACCACAGGCTAGCCAAGTATCCTCCCAAGCATTAGAATCCCGACCATCACCAACTTGGGAGAACAGAAATCGTTGCAAATGAAGTCGTAAGTCCAACAGTTTACGGAAGACCCACGACCACTTGGAGTTTTTCCGAACAAGCCAGAAGTGAGAAGAGCGAAGATTATTACGATACACCCATCTAACCTACAACGAATCACGATGCCACATAATGTCCTAAACATGTTTAGCAAGTAAAGCCCTATTCCAGGTTGCCGAACGCCGAATACCAAGACCCCCAGACTCAAGAAGTCAACATACCACATCCCAAGATAGCCTACACCTACCTCGAGGATCATCCCTTGGAGCCCAAAGGAATTTCCGAAAGATAGATTCAAGGTCATGGATTAGCCCAGACGGAAATAAGAACATAGACATCCAATGAAGCTGTAAAGATTGAAGGACCGAGATAATAAGTTGTCTTCGCCCTCCAAAAGAAAGAAACTTAGACTTCCAATTAAGAATGCGACCCTTAACCTTAGCAATCAAAGGACCATAATCATTTATCTTCAAACGAGCATGAGATAAAGGGACTCCCAAGTACCTGAAAGGAAACGGACCAAGCTTGAAAGGAAGACACGCAAGAATGGCCTCCTTAGTGTTAGGCGGAACATTCCCAAAGAAAATCTCACTTTTCTCATGACTTGGCGCTAACCTCGAACGTTGCTGGAAGAGAAAAAGAGCCTTTTTTAGAATCTCCACTGATTGGACATCGCCTTTAGTGAATACGAACAGGTCATCATCAAAGCAAATGTGCGTCAAATCCAGCTCATCACAACCCCTATGGTACCCAAAATGAGCTGCTTCCCGAATACAATGCTTTAGGAGCATAGAAAACCCCTCCATCACAATCGTGAAAAGATACGGAGATAATGGATCACCTTGCCGTAGTCCCCTTCTGCCATGAAAAACCCATAGGAATTACCATTAATCGCAAGCGAATAGGAAGTAGTAGACATCATCTCCCTTACCACTTGACCATAACCGGATGGAATCCCATACCCTGTAACCTAACAATAAGGAAACGCCATTCCACCGTATCATAAGCTTTTTTAATGTCAATCTTGAACGCACATCTTGGAGGACCTGTCATAGTCTGATACTCTGAAACTAGCTCATGAGCCATAAGGATGTTATTCGCAATCCTCCTACCCGGAATAAAAGCCGATTTGGCCTTATCAATTAACGAATCCAAATAACCCTTCATTCTGTTTACAATGACTTTTATGCATTTATAAAGCACTGTACAACAAGCTATAGGCCGGTAATCCGTAACCTTAGAAGCATTAACAGATTTAGGAATGAGACAAATAAGAGTATGATTCAATTCCTTCGGGAGGTTACCTTGATAGAAGAAGTTATGGATAGCAATCTCCACATCACGCCCGATGATATCCCAAGAAGCTTTGAAAAACTGGGATGAAAAGCCATCAAATCCTGGAGCTTTATGATTTCCAATGCTAAACATAACATCTTTTATTTCTTCATTCAAAATCGGCCGGATCATATGGTTGGCTTCCAAAAGAGAGAACTTTCTCGTAAAAAAATCTTCAGACATAATCGGATCAGAAGAATCATTACTCATACCAAGAAAGTCTTTAAAATAATACACAAACACTTTAGGGACATCGTCCCCATAAACGTAGTCACCACGACTAGTACAGACGGATTGAATGGAATTGGGTGTGATGCCGCTCTTTAATCACCTTGTGGAAAAATTTGGTATTCATGTCTCCCTCATTCAACCACTTGACTTTGGCACGTTGCTTGGCAACACATTTCTCATCCCAACAAGCATTTTGATAAGCAATACGGATATGTCCAAGTTCAAGCCCCAAATCAGTACTAGAAGGATCTTTATCCACGTCTAGCTGAATCCGATCTAATTCAGTTTTCAAAAAAGAAACCCGCACCCCAAGGTTACCATAGGAATTCCGAAGCTTACGCAGAGGAGTCTTGAGGGCCTTCAGGTGAAAAGTCACCCGAAACATAAAAGTCCCCTCTAAATGTTTAGACCATTCCTTCTTTACAACCTGCAAAAAAGCCGGGTGTTCTACCAAGAAGTTGTCAAATTTGAATCCATACCTCATTTTTCGTGATCCTGCTTTAAATGATAAAACCACCGGAGAATGATCCGAAAGACCAGAAGGAAAGAATTGAACATTAGCATCATGGAATTTAGAAGTAAATTCAGAATTAGCCATAACCCTATCTAGTTTACGCATGATTCCCCCTTTGGCATTTGGCTTTTGGTTCCATGAGAAATGGACTCCTGTGTAATGCAAGTAAAAAACTTCAACATCCTCCACACATGCACAAAAATCCGACATATACGTATTATGACGAGAAGACCCTCCAAAACCGTCATGGGGGAATAACATGGTATTAAAGTCTCCAATTACAGTCCAAGGTTGAGAACCAATCAAAACTTTAAATTATCGAAGCCCCGACCATAATTCTCTTCTGGCATTGCAAACATTAGCACCATAAACAAACGAAAAAAAGATAGGATCTTGCCCACCGCGTAAAATTACTTTGCAGTTCAAGAATTGACTATGAACCTCTAGAATCATAACATCTAAAACCCGTAAATCCCATGCAAGGAT